TTAAAAAAGGAAGTATAACTTTATAATAAATTATTGCTTTTTGTTTATTGTAAAAAAAAAGATGGACTAAAGCATTTCTCTGTTCTGTGAAGGAGATTTTGTGGGAAATAGAGACAGCAAATAAACTTGAAAAAATCCACTCTAGGCCCTTGGGCAAAGTCTGCAAGGTATTTGAGTCTTCTAATTACCTGGCAATCTTTTCTAGTGGAGGGGCATGGCTATGCTTTATTTAAATTTCTAGATCTTTGAAGCTCACAGGTTAAACTTATTATCATCAAGCAATACACATTTTACCAGTCTTCTAGGCACACAGAAAAGGACTATTTACTCTTAATTAACATATGTAAGGCACAAATGTAAATCCTTGCCCTATTAGCTACTGTGGAATGTAAACAATTGTTGCAAACTACTTCAGTTTAATCTCTGAAGAGAGGGGGAGTCTAAGTAATCTAAAAATCTACTGAAAGATTTAGTAAGAGTTTCTATTCTACTAGCAGAGAAATAAAAAATGATAGGTAAGTGGAGATTTTAAGTGGTCAGGAGCAAATGTCCACTAAGGAACTTTTGGGTGTCACCTAAGACTTGCCCTGGCCAGGAACCCTCAGTTGTTCTCAGTTTCCATTCATCCAAATAACCAAAAGTCAGTCTCCAGAAAGGAATCTAGCTGTCTAGTCAACATTACATTGATTCCATTGGCCATTGGCTTCAACGGGGATTTACCAAACAGATACTGGGGAAAACTGTCCTCTGCTTTTAAGGGTGGCCACTGCTATAGAAGCAATTAATCAGCTGGTAGAGTAACCAGGTTTCACCAAAGTTCTAAAAGGGATAGTAAAAACCTGAGCAATATCACTACCTAGTGCTCTGTAAATGTACAATAAAGGTTTTAAAGTCCACATGAAAGATTGGAGAGCCTCCTTAGTCTAAAGTGTGTTTAGGTCTTATATGTGTGCTGCTTTTGGGAATAACTCCTTCCATTGTCACATGGAAGTTGACTCTCTCCACTGTGTCTCAGGTTTGATTTCTGGAAGAGATCGTGGCCCAGAACGTTAGGTTGGGACATGGTTTTTAAGTATGTTCTCCTGGTTGGGCACAAGTCCAATGTCTCTGATCCAGAGATAGGATATATGTCCCTTATCTAAGATGACTTCCCTGTCTTTGGCATTAACAAATGCTCATTTTTCTATGGGCTTAACTTAGAAGGAAAAGGTTGGAACAATCTAGAGTTCTTTCTGATTTTACACGCCTCTATAAGGAAAGTACAAAATTGGGAAATAAGTAGAAGTAAAGTCAAAGAAAGGAAACTGAAGGAGAACAGGGCTGACATTTCCTTAAAGTATAGCGGAGGATCAAAGCCAGTCTGTCTCAGTGAAACCTGGCCTCCCAGTCTTGGAGACCTGGCACCAGTCTAGTGCTGCTTAAATGGTGGAAGGAGTCCCAGTTTTACTGTAGGCATATATATTTTCTAAGTCTGAGCTAGACTGCATTTAAGAAGATTCATTTTACAGCAGTTTACATTAAAGTCTGCTGGAGTATTCTAATATTATTCTGTGCTATTACCTAAAATACAGCCAAGCAAGGAGTACTAATAAATTTAGCAGCTAATTTAAATGCAACATGTAGAAAAACAAAATAATAAAAATGTTCCATTAAAGAAATATCATGAACTTATAACTCCCATTTTTATACCTAGGTTTATCATTATTTTAAGAGACAAAGCAATTAAAAACAATGGGCAAATAGCAAGCAAATATCACTAATAATTATAAGCAACTGACAAAGACAAAGCAAAATTTGAAGCATAAAAATTTGTTACCTAAACAAGTCCCAGTCCAGAGTCTATGAAACAAAAGGCAAACTCTTTCTTACCTCTGTCCAATGATCTTGGTGGAACCTCCAAATGGTATAGGGGAATGAAATCCTGGCCTATCTTATGTCCGGTGTGAGTTCGTGTTCTCTATAATCAAAGAAGGAATTCTAGGAACGATGGAGGTTAAGAAAAGAAATATTTGTTAAGAGAAAGAAAGCTTCTGTCTGAGAAAGAGATAAAAGAGGTCCCAAGTGGGTTGCCAAAGATTCTATAGTCTGTGTCCAAACCAAAAGCTATTGACTGCAAGCTTTGTAATGGACTCGAAAATGAAGGAATCAGATTCCAAGTTGAGAATGTTTCAGAGGAAATAATTTTTTTTGCACTATGTGCCTTTTTATGATTCTTTCCAACTTTTTTTCCAGTTACCAATATCTACAGTGCCTGTCTGAGGAAATCATGTTTTATATTTGGTTACTTCTTTTAACATTCTTGCTAGGTCTTTCTTTGGCATATAAGCCTCTGAGCATTTAAGAAAGCCTTGGAGTGGCCATAAATACCTTTGCTCCTCAGCTGAAAGTTTTTGCTTGTTATTGTTGTTGTTGTTTCTAGGAATCAAACTCAGGACCTTGTGCTTGCCAGGCAGGCAATTGTGCCAGGGAGCTATATCTCCAGCCTTATTTTTACTACCAGATAAAATGGCTTGTCCACAGTGGGAAGACTCACTCTTGTTCTTGCCTGTTTTCTGGCGTTTCTGGTGAGGTTTTTCATCCTGTGAAGACCCCCTCCTTATCCTGATTTTCCATATCCAGACTTTCCACTCTCGGCACACTTGTTCCTTGAGGCTAAAATTCCTAATCCAAGGATTTTAGTTATCTGGATCTGGCCTAGATCTCAATCTCCCAAACAAGTGTAAATGGAAGGCTTAAATAAATGAGATAAATGGTATGATTTTAGGGCTCCAGGAGGATCAAAACCCTCTTCAGAGTTCGGGGACTCTGGTGGCTAAGACAGGGAATACTTCTGTATCACCCATATTTATTTGGGGGGTTATAGTGGAAAATGCAGGAAATTGAACAGAACTTGGGAGTGGTTCAAAGATTTTGCAAGAAACAAATTATGTTAACAAGGAGAAGTATCTTAGAAGATCTCCATGTTGCATTTCACTACAGGCGTGAAATGCCTGCAGCTACAGTCTTTATTTACTTAATTGGAGTTGGAACCAGGTATTCTCCGTTGTTATCTTACCCAGGACATGCAGCAGCCATGCATGCAGCCAGTTTCAATGGCTCCCAACGGTTTGTCTTTTAATAGCATGGCATACACTTTCGATCCTCTGAATAGTAAGCCCTTGGTTCTTAAATGAAGACCTTGTTAAAAGAATTTAGTGTGTAACGGGCTCAATAAACTTGGGGTGGAGCTCAGGGAGGTTCATTTTAGAAAGCTTTCAGGTGATTTTAATACAATCATCCCTGTCCCGCCTTAAGAAATATTTATCAAGAGATCAGAGTTCTATGGTTTTCAGCCTCACCACTGTGCCATTTTCTTAGCTGTCTCTCAGACACGTATGTGGAGCTGAGCCAAATTCTTTGGAGGGGTAAAACCCTACTGATGATTCAAACTGAAGTACAGTGCTCTCAGAAGTGAGATGGCAGGCCTAGAGGATTGTACATAGACTGTTTTGATAAAGGGAAATGCATAAGTAATTTTTTCACTGGAAACAACTGGTAAAACAAAAGTTCTGTTTTATTTATTGTATTTGATGGAAAACTGCTTTATTTTCTTATTTTTCCCCCCACTTGGGAATAGGCAGACCCTGGAGGAAGAAAAGCCTTCATTCCTTGTTGCCTGTAGTGTTTGGAGAGAAGGTTCAGTCATGTTTGAGTTTCCCAGTCATTACTGAATATGTGCTTCTTATGTCTTCCTTTTCTGTTTATCAGGTGCTATTGCTTTTATTCTTTAATGTGTGTTGCCCTTTGTTACTTGGTCACTCCTTGTGAAGCCATGTACATTATTTGTTCTTTGTTCTTGGCTGTATCTAAATAACCATATACAAAAGAGGAAAATCACAACTTTTACATCATTCAAAAGTTGTATTTTTAATGTAAGAAGAAAAGTACAATCCTTTTTTGTTTCATTACACATGATTGTAACAACCATGCTTTGAAACATACCTTATCTAGCAAACCAATAGTTTTCTTGTAAATACTGAAGAAAGAATCTATTATAGCATTCCTGGAACAAGTTAACATGCCACTTTCTTGCATCAAAACTATACATTCAGTTTATTTAAATGTCATTAGTTGTGGACTGTTACAATTTGTTTGAAGTAAAGTATATGTGGATGACATTTACATAAAAACGTACATGGATTACTGTTTTTGTTGAATTTATTGGAAATAATCAGTATTTAGTAAGTCTTGACTTTCTTTACAAGAAAAGGCAATAAGCATTAAATCCAGGAATTCTGTTGTCTGTCCATTTAAAAAATTTAAGACGACCTGTCTACTAGTCTATTTTTTGATTAGCAACCAGTAACACGTTTATGTTTTGAAACCCCTACAGTTCCTAAAACAAAACTGGCACAAATATCCTTGCCTCTCCTTGAATTTACATACCACAAAGATGTTGGAAAAAAGTTACAGCAATGCAAAGATGTCTAAATAGTCCAGTGCCATGGTGATGGTTATTGTTTCTGGAGTTTATTGTATAGACTGGAATGGTCACTTTCGTATTGTATCCTCGTTTATTATGGTAATTGACTTTCGAAGAGCAGACAGGAGGTGTCTTGTGAAAGTCTTGGTTGGAGGGGGGAGGGGTTCGAAAGCAAACCTGTTTTGTGCCTGAATAAAACCAAAGAAATCAATGTGCTTCTTTTCAAAGACAGGAGGGTCAATACTGTGGTTGTTTTTGTTCCCATCGAGTTATATAACCGTGGGGACTTTTTTCTTTGCTTTCAGGATTTGTGCAAAACCCATTAATACTAAACAATAGACGGGAGTCTCAGGAGCAATTCTGGAGCTGTCCCGGAGTGTGTCCTCTAGGTTTGGGAACCTCCAATTAGTTCCATCACAAGGGCCGATTGTGTGTGTGTGTGTGTGTGTGTGTGTGTGTGTGTGTGTGTGTGTGTGTGTGTGTGTTTAGTTTGCTGGCACGACACACTTCCCCAGGGTTGTGTTTCCTTTTTCCTGAGATTTGGCGAAGGGTAAAGGGTCGGAGTCACATGGACAGAAAGCATTTGATTCATGTCCAAGTCACCGCGGTGGCAGCAGGGGCCGCTCCCTCCGGCTCAGGCCGCGTGAGGCAGGAGCGGCGGGGCTCGGCCCGCGGGGCAGAGGCCAGAGCCGCCTCTCCAGGGAGTCTGCCGAGCGGAGCCCCGCGCCCTCCTCTGCCCTCCGCCCGGGCTCTCCTCCTCAGCATGTGAAGCCACCCGCCCCTCCCGGGACTTTTCAGAGGCGGCCGCCTCCGCTCCGCTCCGCTCCGCGCCGCCGGGGACCGCGCAGCAGCAGCAGCAGGCGCGCCCCGCAGCGCGCAGCCCGGCCGCTCGGCCCGCGCCCCGCCGCCCACCATGAGCGAGGAGAGCCGCGGGGACGGCCGCGCCGAGGGCGCCAAGGACGCGGAGAAGCAGCTTCGCCTGCGCGTGTGCGTGCTCAGCGAGCTGCAGAAGACCGAGCGGGACTATGTGGGCACGCTGGAGTTCCTGGTGTCGGTGAGGGCCGCGCCTCTGCGGGTCCCGCGGGGCTCGGGGGGCGCGCGGCATTGTCCGCCGGGCCGGAGGGGGCGTCGCGGGCGCCGAGTGCGCTGGGGGACGCCGTTCGCGGTCGCCGCGACTCGCGGGGATTTTTAAAAGGCTGTAGGCGCGGTGGGCGGCCCGGAGAGCTCTGAGTCGGGAAAGTTAGGTGCAAAGGGAGCGCGCTCCTGCCCGGGGATCCTGGCTGCCCCATCTCCCCTCACTTTTCCGTCTCCCTCTCGTGCGTGGTGTCCGTGCCTTCTCCCCCTCTCCAGAGTATGTTGTCTTAAAGCGTTGATGTGGTGGACAAGGATGCAGTCTGCTACATGTGGGTCTGTGTAGCTTAAAAAAAAAACCACTGAGTCTGTTGGAGCTGGAGTTTTACTCAGATAACATGGCAGTGAAATTCTTTAGTCATAATCATTTTTGAAACATGGGGTGTGTTTGGGGGGGGTGCACAGAAAGAGCGTCAGGGTTGTGATCTTTACCAGCTGTTGGGTATTGAAGACACATGTGTGCTGGCTCCGACCTAGCCCCACAATCTCCTTCCTCCCGGCTTAACTTGTGTGCACGGAGACCATGAAAGTGGTGTATGAAACTCATGCCTAACAACATTGGGGTTTCCTAGAACTGGGCATGAACTTTACAGAAGTAGGGGGCAAGTAACTTACGAGACATTTACAGAAGTAGAAGCAAATAACTTATGAGACATCACTCAAACTCTTTGACTTTTTCGCTGTTCACTGCTGAAAAGACAAATAATTTGAAGATTGGCTCCTGTCTACCCAGATGCGTGGGAAAACATCATTTAAAAAAAGCCTGGCACAACTCTTCTAAGCTTCTCCTTCCATCGCTGTGTTCCTCTGGTCGGAAGGGAAATGTTTCAAATGCCAAACTTCCTGCTCAGTTTTGTGAAATCTAAAAAGTTTCTGCTGACAGTCAGGATGGAGGAAATTCTTGGCTGTGTCAAGAAGGGAAGAACAATGTCTTGGAGTTCTAAAAATTGCACCAAAATGCACAGGTTGCCTTTTCCAATATACTTGAGCTCTCAGGGACCAAGTCCTTCTTTGGAAAGGTGCAAGTATTTTAGAATATTCTAGTAATTGGTGATATATAGAATTAATTGAATATGTCCAGGCAGCAGTGACTGAAAAGAGCTTGCTTGCTTATTTATTTATTTATTTATTGGTGTACTGGAGATTGAATCCAGAGCCTTCAAACTGGGCTATATTCTCAGGCCTTTTAATTAATTAACTGATTTCTAATTTTGAGACCTGTTCTACCTAAATTGCCCAGCCTGTCATTGAACTTGTGAGCCTTTTGCCTCTGTCTCCCAAACTGCTGGGATTACAAGCCTGTATCATCACATCTGGCTAAGAAGAGCATACTTTAAAGGAGATTTAATTTTTAGTAGCTTCAGATGAGAGTATCATGAAACTTTGTGGTTGACGAAAGTCCTTTGAGTTTTGAAGGATTGGAGTAATTTGTTAGTTACTGCTTTCTGAAAATAGAAGAAAAAGGTGCAGTGCAAAATGCTTAATTGCTGAAGTAGGCCACAAACATAATTACCTGAACAACTAATTTGCTGATCTTTGTTTAAAATATTAGTTTCTTTTCATCTGAACATCAGAATATCATAACTGAAAACTGTTCATACTATGTAGAGTAAGGAATGAGCATGTAGGAGGTTTAAAAATTGTATTTTCCTTTTTACAAGTAGAAAATCATCTTATGATTTTGTTTGTGCTATTTTCAAAAACTATGAGCTTTTCCACTTTTCCTGTGTTCATTGTGCTGTATTTGCTTATACATATAAATGCACTTATTGGCCTGAATGGCCTGTAGACAAAGATTTACTCTGGCTTCTTTTTGGTCAAAACCACAAAAGTGTAAAGTCTATTTATAACCATTTATAACCCATTATAGAATATTTTCTTTCGGAATTAGAGAAACAATCCCTTCAGAGTTCTACTTGATGGCCTATAGTTGATGTAGTATGTAAAGTTTTCATAGGAGACTATGCTAATACAAGAGCCTAAAAGTATTTATGCCCCTTGATCTGATAATTTCCCTTCTAAGAACTTATTCTGAGGGAATGATCAGAAATAGACACAAATAATAAAAAATATTTTTTAAAAATCAGGTATATTAATAAAGTTGAGTGAGAAATTTATTGGCAATAAGTTGATATGCATACGTAAGTCAAATTTAAATGTTTGTTATATTGGTCATTGTTTTCGATTTCTGCCATTGGGTTAAGCCACTGTTACAAATGAAGGGTGACTGTAGAAAGAGGAAGAAGAGATAAAAATATTTTTGCTCTACTAAGAACATATTTTGAAACATTATTTTGCTTTATTGAAAAAAAAGCAGGATCAAAAGGAAAATTTTTTACTCATATTTTATTTGCAGTTCCCTCCTCTCAATTCTACCTTTTAAGGAAAGAACATCTTACCTCCAGACCCTAGTCGGTCCATAAGCATTGCCATTTTTTTTCTATACATGTTATTATTATTATATTATTATTTTTTTGAGAAAGGGTCTTGCTATGTAACGTAGGCTGGCCTTGAACTCACTTATATAGCCCAGGCCTGGGAAACTTCACAGACAGCTTTCACTGTGGGCCAGTGCCAATGAGGCAGCATGGCAGGCAGCATGTACTGTTTAAACTGGGACACTCCTGACAGAGAAAGGAAATGCTGTTACTAATTACACTGAGAAACAGATGTAAACTGGTTTGTTCCTAGAACACCTGCAGTCATGGTTTTTCCATGTCATAGGCCCTTTAAGACAAACATTTTGAGCTATATGCTTTTGCATAAAAGATTTTGAAAGTTGTTATCTATCTGGGCTCTGATTTCAGATATTCTCGAATTAGAGTCTTGCCCCTAGTTCTTGGTGTAACTTAAAAGAGTCCCATTTTCCTCATCTGTGAAAAGGGGAAATAACAGTCTTTCTCAAGATTGCTACAAGGCGGAAATCATGTATTTGGGCCTCTGCTTAGTTTCTGACACATAATAGGACTGTGCAAATAGTTACTTTTATTTATTTTGATGTTACAAAGAACCAGGAATACTGGTCCTCATTAGATACCTTTAATTTTTGTTATATTCGTAAGTCTGCAGTTTTGTCTGAAACTGAGCCTCTTATTTCCCAAGTCGTGTAGTCTTTTACATGGTATTCTTAAAATACTCAGTTGACTTTTAAGACAGTTAGGAAACTTTAGATGTAATGAACACTATGGTTATTATGAAGCCTTAAGGATTTGCATGTTTATTCTCTGATTGCTTTAATGTGATTGTGTCTCTGGATGCTTTAAATGTTGATGGGGCTTCAAGGGACCCCAGGTGGTGAGCTAAATTTTATAGCTTTGGACTCTCCACTACAGCTTTTCTCTTTCTCAGATTTGTGCTTTTGCAAAAACAGTTAGAAAAACAACTTACCTAGATGGTAAATTCCCAGAATACGGATTGTGTGTTTGCTTCCTGTGTGCACTTTTCTTGGCCGGAACATGGTGCTTTGTAAATAGCAGGTGTTCATGAAAATAAACAAACAGGCAAACAAAGCGAGTGCAAACAAAGCAGAGTTTGAATGAATTTGAAAACAATCTCTTTTCAGTCAAGACCTTTTCAGGCAAAGATGAATTGATACAGTGCATTGTGTGCAAGACTTAGGCTCCACTCAGCATTGTGCCTGTGATTTATGTTACTGACGCACCAATTCATATGCTGAAGTCCTAACCTCCAGTACTTCAGAGTGGGACTGAATGTGCAGATACACTGGTTTGTTTAAAAGAAGAAACTTGAGTCCACAGAGAGATACTAGGGATGCATGCACACAGAGGCAAGGCCATGGAAGTCAAGCCAAAGAGAAAGGTCTCTGGAAAAGCCAAAATACTGACACCATCATGATCTTTAACTTCCAGCCTTTAGAACTATGAGGGAATTAATTCCTATTAAATTCACTGTTTTGTTATGGCAGCCTAAGCAGACAGACAACTTATGTTAGACAATGGAGATGCGAAGAGAAGTCTTGTCCATATTAAGCTCATAATTTATTGAGGGGCTAAGAAAAGTACATAGGTAGTCACAAGGCCATGTGGGAAATACCACAGGTGTCAAAAGCCAAATGGTTTGGAGACATTAAGGGAGTCTTTCAATCTAGGAGTGAGGGGAGTTTTGAGAGGCTTAGCACAGAGCTGATGAAGGGGCAGGAGAAATGTGGCAGATAGGAAGGAGCACTGTCCACCCCTCAAAACGCAGCATGTGGAATGGTAGAGCTTGCCCTCTGAGGGTGCCAGCACATTGTTCATGGTTGGAAATAAAAAGTCCTGTGCTTTTTGGATATTGGTAGGAGATGAAGTAAGTATAATCCAGTTTGAGGAAAGTTCCATTCCTGAGAATTCTGCCTTTAACTCTAGGGAGTAGAAAGTCTGTTGTGAGGGAATACTTGCTCTCAATAATAAGAAAGCCTCAGATGTCTACAGCTGAAATGGGATGTCCTGAGGTTCAGGCCAAGATTTCTTGCGTCCATCTCTGAGTTTCATCTTGAGATCCTTCTCATGGCTCACTGCCTCCTGTGTCTCTCTGTCCTCATTACAGATACCCCTTTAACCAGCTGCACAGCATACGGAAAAAACTTCTCCTTGTTCCTCTCAATCTGGGACAGGATATTACCTTTGAAAAGTCCTTGCTATTTACTAAGGCAGTACAGATGCCAGTAATAATGGAAACTACATAAAACATAAATACAGTCTAGCTTCTGTGTGATAGATTTCTGCCCCTACCAAAACGATCCTGCTCTCAGGGTGCAAACCTGCCTTGTTTTTCTCCTAAGCTTTCGGACACTTTCCTTTGATACACTTGGCTGGATACTCCTGACTGGCTTTGGCTGGATTGCTTGTTTTTTCGCCATTAGTTTCAATATGTGTCCAAGCAGGATGGCATCAGGAAACTGCTTTTAGAATGAAATGACTCTCT